AAAGCGTCGCTGTACTCCGGCCGCCGCATCTGCAGCTCTAGATCTTAGGCCCGGTCCCGTCCGCGGGCAGCTGGGCTTTCCCCGGTCTCCTCTCCCTCCGGCTCCCGCCAGCGCGGAGTAGCCGCTGCCGCCGCGCTGCTTCCTGGGGTAAAGACAAGGCGGTAGTGGCGGGAGCCAAGAAGTCCGGGCCCCCTTTAGTCTTCTCTGCCACCTTCCCAGCAGCTGCTGTTCCCCGGCTCTTCAGATGTCTCTCAATACACGCACATCTTTAGCCACTTACGTGTTTTTGTTTTTGTTTTTGTGTATAAGATGGGGGACTCTGGACTGAATAACGGGTCTCAAGAGCATTCAGGCCCAGGGATACTGAGGGCGATGCACGATGAAGGGAGCAGGAGTGCAGCTGCGATGCTTCTTCTCTCACTGCACCCGGAGAGTGAAGCTGTAGTGTTGTAGAGGCAGTCTGTTTGGTCCTGGAGCGGCGGAGGAAACCGAGACGCCTCTTGTTTGTGAAGTTGCAAGCCCTAGGTTTCTACTTCCGGTGGGGCCTCTCTACCTTTTGCTTTTAATGTCTAATTTAAAAAGTTTCATGGAAGAAATGAGTGGGCTAAACAGAGACCCCTGTGGTTCTTATTTGAGGTACTGTTGGTTATATCCAGGAGCAAGCTTCTAGTTCTTGGTAACTGTGGAGTTTAGTGAAAGCAAGTTGTGGTTTTGTAAAAAGCATTTCTAAGATTTTAGTATTTTATTTTAGGCCATGTAACACCACAAAAGTGTTACATGCGGGCACCACTGTCATGAAAGGGACCTAAACATCAACTTCCTTTGAATCCGGAAGACTTACGTGCAATGTATTTTCATAAAACTCTTCCTTAGAGAACGCTACTCCTTTCTTAGTGATCTAGATAGTTCCTAATAATTAAGCACCCTGATATGAATCCTTAGAGACTTGACAAAATAGGAAGTATTGTACTGAGTTAATTCACCAGTGAAACCATAGTTGAATTCCATATTCAAAGTTAAAACGCGTTTCTTGTCATCCTTGATACTAGGAATCCTTAGAGCACAGAAATCATTAAATGTCAGTGTTGATTAGCTTTTTAAAACAGCCTTAAGTGGAGGTAAAGTGTGGGCTGGCGGTGGGAGAGAGGTTTAAATTTAAATATACCTGTTTGCATACCAGCTTTATGTTGAATTTAGGACAGTTGGTATTTTGACAACAGTTCTTTAACAAATATCAAAGACTACATCTCTTGCAATTTTGGAAGTAACTTTATCTGGCATTTACAGGGTTAAGAATCCCGTAGACTGAAATGTTTAAATGTCTACATTCAAATGTTTAAATGGCTACATTCAGATGCTGTTACATTGAAATGTTTCTTAAAGGACCAAGGGTGGATGTTACACTTTAGTTTGTAGTGTTTTTGTGATAATAAAGGTGAGGAAAAAGAAATATAACACAAACCGAAAAAAAGGCAGATTCTTTCCACTCCACTTCTTTCTTGACTTTGCACAATCCTAATTTAATTTTAAAATATTTCCCTCATTTTTTCCAAAACTTGAATTCCACTGATTTCTTTGAATACTTTGTATTTAAACAGGAAATAAACTGTTTCACAGTTTTATATCCTATTTAGTTCTTTATCAATATAATTTAAATATAGACACCATTTGTTGGCATAAGCCTTTCATTCTAAGTATACAGTATATAGAGATATCTTATCTGTATATCCATTCTAAGTGTAGCATAATCTGATCCTAGAGAATGAGAATTGCTTGTTGGTTTAAACAAGTAACAAATACAGCCTTTAAGATTTTTCAGTTTAATACTTTGATGTAAAGTAATTTGATGGAAAAAAGTCAAATTACATATGTGTAAGGTATACCCTTTTCATTTGAGAAATACTTGATCTTGATAAAATTCAGAATATACTGCTCTAGAATTAATTTTTGTTCTCGCTTTGTAATTTTGAATGTTTAGTATAATTTTTTTATTATCCAAAGATGCATTATAGTTAAAACCTGAACGTGTTTTTTGTTCAAAAGTAAGTACTTCAGATTTATGAGATTCCTTTAGAAGTTCTAACCCGGTTGTTCCGGTTTTTATCTCTTTAATAGAAGAGATACCTGATATTAAAGTAATTGTACTTTGAAAGATTACAGAATGTTTCACACTCCATGAGAAGTTTAATTTTACCTTTTTAGTGACAGATTTGCTTCATAAGATTTTCTGATAATACAGGAAAATAAAAATATATACTTCATGTGTATATGAGATTATGAGATGTTACTAAACTAACAGTTTACAATTTATCTTTTGCTCTTTAAAAGCAATGTTGAATAATAATAGTATTTTTAATTACAGTTTTTTATCTGTAGAAAATTCACTCTTTTCTATTCATATTTAAAAGCAAGTTCTAGATAACATATGCTTACTTAGGCACTCAAGAACGATTTATGCAAAGAGTGATACAGTCTTAGGAAAAGATACCACTAAATACTTAGGATTTTATTTGTTAACCTATACTGCTGGTGGATCTTGTAGCATGAGATTTTATAAAGAGGTAGAAGAAACCAGGGTACCAGATGGGCATTTCTAGAGGCAGAATTAATCTGAGTTGTACTGTGATGTTTGGTATTACATACAGTATTGATGACGGGATCTAGTGCTGTGATAGGAGCCTTTCTGGTTGTTGACACAGGTGACTGTTCTTCGTTACAAAAGATGAATCCTACCTGTGATACTGAAAGGAATTGAATTTCATTGTGACATGTACAGGACTTTATATTTTGGAAAAAGCTGTGCTAAAATTGATTTCTGTTGTAGAAAGTTTGTGTTTGAAAAGAATAAGGAGAATTAAGGTTTTAACTCTTAAAAATAGTTTTATATTTTGTATCTTGGCTGTATTAGCTGAACCCTTTTTCAATTATATAATTTTTTCTAATTTTTGTTTGACACCTTTTGACTTGTTTTAAAATTCAAGTCTTATGACAAATTATGCTAATAAGACTTATTTATATATTATTAGAAAGACTTATTCATTATGACTAGTAGACATGACCTGGAAGTAGAATTTTTACTGTGTTTTCTGACAGCTTGTTTTCTGAAATACAGTTGCACGTTTCTTGGCATACCACTTGGGGATTGCTGCATTATGCAATAATAAAATGGTTTACAGTTTTTTTGGGTAAGAACTCATGGCTTATATAATTTAGAAACATAAAACAGTTATCTAGAAAAAAAGATTTAAAAATTTGTTTTCCTAGAAACTTCAGTATTTTGTAATTCACGTCCATTCGTATCTTCCACCATAACCTCTTCTGGACTGTGAGCACCTACCTGAAAAAGCTCTTATCTCTTGTATATTTAACAGTCATAGTGCCTTCTATTGTGAATAGTACTTAGTAGGTTCTCAGTAAGTATGCCTTACACAGAGATATTGCCAGACTGTCACTTGACAATGCATGCAGTGTATTCTGCTTCCCAATCCGCAAATCAGAAGCAACAAATTTGAAAATAATGGGGATAAGGTTGTATTCCTTCACTTTCTGAATCCTTTTTTACAGTTTTGTTTCTTAATTAGCTATGGGAAATAGGTAATTAGCTTCTTAGAGAACTGTGTAGAGTTAATATGGAACTAATGGAAGAATTTTAGTAATAGAGCATTTAATACCCGCTTTGCTTTTGGCAGTGTTTAAATCTGTATTTCTTACTGCATTTTGTATGGCTATAATCCCTAGTTGAAGGAGATATTTTTAATTTTTATTTATAAGTTAATACATATTTTCTGCTACTTATCAGTGAGCTATTGTAGATTTGGGTTTTTAAAGTTAGAGTCTATGGGTTTCTTATTTATTTATTTATTTTCCACCATCTTTCTTCTGATGCCTGGTTCAATGCTTAATATGGAATAGGAATTCTCTAGTTTTGATACCACTGAAGTTATGAAAAGTAGATTAGGTGGTTTAATGTATCTTTTATCAGAGGTCCAAAAAGCTCTAAAACATTTTTTTTTTTTTGTAAACATGGTAGCAAATTTCAACAGGAATTATCCCTCTTAACCAAATTTTTATTATCCCTCTTACTTTAATTTCCAACATTTTTATATAGAAATGTGTTTTGATGCAGGTGTTACCTAGAGCCCGGGGTAGGGTGGTAATGTTACCTTTCTGAAAATCTAAAAAATTTCAACAGGTTATCCCTCTTAACCAAATTTTTATTATCCCTCTTACTTTAATTTCCAACATTTTTATATAGAAATGTGTTTTGATGCAGGTGTTACCTAGAGCCCGGGGTAGGGTGGTAATGTTACCTTTCTGAAAATCTAAAAAATTATAATTTGGAGCAATGTCTGGCCTTCAATGGTTTGGATAATTGATTATGAGCCAGCTTTGTGTCTGTTTCAGAGATGTTGAAATCAAACCAGGATTAATGACTACTAGAATAGCATTTGGTACAAATGCTAATGTTGAGTTATAGTTTTAGAAATCTTTTCATATTTTTCTTAGCCATTATTTCCCAGAGACTTTTTAATGACTAAGAACTACTAGAGATACAGTGTGTCTGTATTTTAAAGAGAATTTGATGTTGCACTCAGGATGCCAATCTTTCTCTGCTTTTACTGAATGGTAATGCCT